TTATGCCCATATGATCACTATAGGGTGACTCCACACATGAAATTTTGATCGTCATGAAGGATTTTTGGTTGAAAATTTGAAAAAAATCTCAATTCGAAACATTTATTTATAATTAAGGTACCATTTTGATTCATTTAAGAATTAAGATACCAAAATGCAAATATGCAATATTACCTATAGTTAAGGTATCATTTATACATTTGACCCTTTTATTGAAATTTATGAAGTTCTGACTGAATTGACTGATTATTTATGAAAAAGTTATATCTAAAAGGAAAAATTGATAGTAATAATCTCAACTATTGGCGATCTGCTCATAATAATTCCACCTATCGATTATTTCAGAATAATCTCAACATTAGGGACCTTCTGCCAATAATGGTATGACGTGACCGGCTATAAATAAATTTTTATAGTTTTTAAAGTGGATGAGAAGAGATATAACATGTAATCCCTATAAATAATCCCAATTTTTAATTTTCACGCTTAATTTCTATTTAAAATTCACTTGTTATAGTAGGTAATATCCAGTCATAGACCATTATTGGTGGACGATCCATATAGTTGAGATTATACAAAAATAATCAATAATTGGAATTATTGTTAGCGGAGCGACAATAGTTGAAATTGTTATTTTCAATTTTTCCTATCAAAAATATAATTTATTAATAAAAAGAAATTATATGTAGAAATATAGCTAAAATGGTCTCCTACAATAACTTCCGCTAATACACCTAAAAAGTAACTTCAACACTATTTTATTGTTATTACTAGTATAGTCCCCGTGCATACGCACGGGGAAAAACGGTCGGTGCATATATTTTTACTTATTATATAATTAAATATTAAAATAAAATAACTTTGTAGGATTCTAAATTTTCGAAAGATAATAATACAATAAGCTAATAATATAAAGCATAAGCCCATACAATAAATATTCAATGAAGAGTATATTAGAAAAAATTAATTAGCACCACTCATTAGAGTTTGTACGAATAAGGGAGGATAGTATCTAAAACCACTACATATGATATAAAAAATGTTTCTCTCACTTATTAGTCCGCTTATTTTATACGGAGTACTTGAAAATACTACATATGAGAGAAAGTTATCTCGCTCAATTATTAGTCCATTTATCTTCTTATACCTAAAAGCATTAGTATGGGAGAGAAACTTTTTCCGCTCAATTATTAATCCGCTCATCTTATTTTATACTTAAAAATACAACATATGAGAGAGAAAATTCTTTTGTTAAATTATTTGTTTGCTTTTCTTATGCCTACAGCTCTAAAAGTATTACATATGAGAGAAAAACTTATCCCGCTCATTAATCAGTACGCTTATCTTATATCTACATATGAGAGAAAAATACTCTCTCACTTATAAGAAAGATGTTCAATTAACCTTCAATTTTTTTTAAATTTTATATATATAATATTAATGTCATATGAAAGATCATAAAAAATTATGAATTTTGATATATTTTTCATAAAGATTAGAGAAAAAATGAAAAAGTTATAACACATTAAAGAAAAATGATGTTTTTTATTAATTGGGGCCCACATATATTGATGCCACGTTTTATACGGAGTCATACAAAATGGGGGTTTAATGCACCAAACACCCCTGTGATTTGGAAATTCGGCGCATTAGCCCCCTGTGATTTAAAAAATGCGTCAAACCCCCCTGTGTTTTAATTAATCATGCACAGAACCCCCTTTATGAATAAATTTAACGATTTGAAAATCACTTTTCCTAATATTTTGATTGAATATGCAAATAAATATGTCAAAATCTCTGAATCATACAAAAATGTTAATCATTTTTCTTTTATTTGACAATTGAATTTGTTCACATAAGGGATTTGGCGCATGATTAATTAAAACACAGGGGGGTTTGACGCATTTTTTAAATCACAGAGGGCTAATGCGCCGAATTTCCAAATCACAGGGGGGTTTGGTGCATTAAACCCTACAAAATGGTGAGCTTCCTTTGCTGTTTGAATGTTCCGTAATGTCCTTGAGCTTGCCACGTGTCATATGTAGAGTAAGGGAGTGAATTGTGGAGAAAAGAACACATAAACTTTTTTGAGGATAAAATTGTCATTTAATGATAGTTATTTCTTTTCTTATATATAATATAATATAATATAATATAATATAATATAATATAATATAATATAATATAATATAATATAATATAATATAATATAATATAATATAATATAATATAATATAATATAATATAATATAATATAATATAATATAATATAATATAATATAATATAATATAATATAATATAATATAATATAATATAATATAATATAATATAATATAATATAATATAATATAATATAATATAATATAATATAATATAATATAATATAATATAATATAATATAATATAATATAATATAATATAATATAATATAATATAATATATAAATAGAATAGAATAGATGACACGATTCAAAATTAAAACTTAAGTACTTTTATTTGATAAAAATGTAGGTTGAAATCCATTTGTGTGAATGGATTAGAAATTAAAAGGTACAGGGTAGAAATTTGAAGATAAAAAGTTATCCCGTTGAAATTCAATTGTGCGTCTTCTCCCTTGCGTACTTATCCACAGGGTGTTTTCCCAAAACACGGGATAAGCTAACAACCATTGCAAAAATACGGGACTTTTCCTAGGGTTTCTAAGAAAGCGGTGGTCGGAAGCATGAATTCCGACTGGGTTCACGCTGAAATTCAAGCAAAATAATAAAAGTGCCCAAGTCGGAATCACCAATTCCGACACCATGTTTTTTTAAATTTAAAGCGTAGTGGGATTCTTGTTTGCAAAGTTTTGTCATTTTAAGTTGTAATTAGAGTTTAATTTGTGGTGAGAGTTTAGGTTTATTTTTTAAAAGGTACTCTTTTTTTTGAATTTGTGTTTAAGTTTTGTTAGTTTGATTAAATTTTTATCCGATAAATAATGTATGAGGTATGTGATTACATTTTATATTATTAAAATGTATCTGATTAAATTTTGTTTGACTAAATTTTATCTGATTCAATTTTATTTGATTAAATTTTATCTAATTAATATTTTTCCTAAAAGTCCATTAATAATTCAAACATCTAATAAATTTGATCCGACTAGAAGGATTCAAATCAGAAGGAGTCAGATCAGATTTAAAAAATTAAGACTGATGGAGTATATGGCCCAGGAACCCCCGGCCCATAGACTCCTATTTCTCATACACAGGCCCATTGAGCCCAAGGAGCATTTGAGGCCCAAATGCAGTGGCCCAAGCCTCAAAGAAACCCAAAATACACACTGGGGTGCCTTTGGCCTCCTTAGCCGAAGGCTCTAAATCACACAGGGCAGCCAGATTTGAGCATACGAAGCTACTGGGAGAAAACGGCATAAAACAGTAGCCCTCGGCTACCAGTAGCCTTCGGCTTATGCAGTAGCCCTCGACTACCAACTCAATCAGGGAAGCCTTCGGCTGTACGACGCCTTCGGCTATACGACGCCTTCGGCTACACAGGCCCTCGGCCGCAGGGGGGAGCCCTCGGCCAACAACTCAATCATCGAAAAGATTCCCTTTGGAGACAAGCAACCACCGCATTTAATGCAACGTCACATCCACCCACCGCATTCAATGCAGAGCACATGCGAATGCCAGTGCCACCCGATTAGGGTGACCCCTCGGCCGTTAGATCGTCGCCACGTGTACTCTCATCGCATTTATTACTACTATAAATAACAGTCCCTTTCCCCATTGTAAAGGATCCGATCCCAAACCAGAACATCTCGAGTTCATCAATACAATCGCCTCTCTCTCCTACTTGTTTGCTCTGACTTCTCTCTAGGTTATTCCCGTAAATAACCCCTCGGATAAGCTACCCCCGGGTACACTGTCCATCATTTGGTGCTCTCATTGAGAGGTCCGAACAATCAAGTAAGAAACCCTCCCCTTCGCCAAACACAAAAACACCTATCAAAATGGGAAGAACTCGTGGTCAGTCCAAAACCCTCGAGGAGAACCATGTAGCCCCCGGCGAAATCAACGGGGCCGAAGCCTCCAACAGGCTCTTGGTACCCGAAGGAGGTACTATCCTCGAATTGGAGATGCTCTTATAGATAGATTTGGATCGTTTTCAGTTCTAGACCAAATCAGACTTAACAGACCAGATCAGACCTGATCAGACTTAACAGACAAGACTTAAACAGACCATACCTGAATTGACTTGAATATTTATAAAATACATAGAGACCAGAAATTTACCAGGACGGACCAGAGTAGTTCAGAACAGACCAGTAAATTTTCGTCTAAAAGAAAACATCCTAAAACCAATATTTCTATACATAACATTTAAGTTTATTTCTATACGCAACATTTAAGTATTTATTAATTTATAAATAATTTCCATATTAAAACCAATATTTTATACATAAAAACGTAATAAAAATCAGTTCCATACTACGTACTCCGTATTAAATTTATAGAGAAACCATTATTTTAATAAAAACGTAAATAACATAGTGTATTAAAATTCCTTATTGTGTAGCAACTGTTTTGTACGATAGTATTTTTTGAAGAACCTGTTTTGAAATTATTCATCATTCTCCACTAAATCAAATTATTGTCTAGCTACTAAACCACCCAGTCGGAATTGCCATTTCCGACTAGCTATTATTGAATTATTTTCTTTGATATTTCGCAGCCCTAACTCCAGTCGGAATTGTGAATTCCGACACCCGTATTTTGGTAACGTAATTGGGATTCCCGTGTTTTGGCTTGTCAGACATAAAACTCTCGTATTTTGGTAATTTCCTCCTTATCCACATATGCATCACGGACGGACTATCAAAATTGCAGACAATGATTGTGCCTTAAGACTGTTATTTGACGGTCCGATCCAGTCAATTTACGAATCTATGGCCAGCATGATTATCATCCAACTGTAAAGCGAATAATATTAAAACCCAGTTAAAGAAAAGATCTTTCGAGCCAACAAAACATAACAAAACAGAAATCGACAACTCCTCAGCTAACTCACCTTTCTCGGTATCTTCTCCATTTCTCACCCCCAACTGGACCAACAGTGAGATTCCGGAGAAGAATGCCTTCAAGACAGCCTCTTTCTGCAGACCCAAGAACACTCAGATTGACCGCCATCTTCATTGCAATCACAACCTTATCATCTCTGATCATCCTGTTTGCAGTTTTCTACTTTGGGTATTATTTATGGTTCTTTTTAGTGCACCGTTCCAGAACCAGCCCATTTGATTCCAACGCGCCCCTGGTGAAGCTCCACAGGTTTTCCTACAGAGAGCTGAAGTCAGCCACTCGTGGGTTCAGTGAGTCCAACGCCATAGGGAAAGGAGGGTCTGGGACTGTGTTCAGAGGAAGCCTGAGAGATGGGAAGTCGGTGGTTGTGAAGCTCTTGCACTGTGATTCTCCCCAGAGCGAGAGGGAGTTCCAGAATGAGCTCCAGGTTCATGGAGGGATCAAATCTCCACTCATAGTTACTCTGCTCGGGTACTGCGTGGAGAAAAGAAAGAGGCTTGTGGTGTATGAGTATATGCCTAACAGAAGCCTGCAAGAGTCTTTGTTCTCTGAGACTAATCTGGTGGGCTTGGATTGGGGGAGGAGGTTTGATATCATTCTAGATGTTGCAAAGGCGCTGTCTTTTTTGCATCTTGAGTGTGACCCGCCGGTTGTCCATGGGGATGTCAAGCCCAGCAATGTGTTGCTGGATTCCGAGTTCAAGCCGAAGCTTTCGGATTTCGGGTTATCAAGATTCAAGGCTGAAGAAGGGTTGGAGGAGTTTGGTGGGGTTGATGTGTTCAGTCAGGATATAGGGAGGAGCCAAGACCTTTCTGGGAATTTTGGGACACCAGGGACTACTACTGTTGGGACTCTCACTCCTCCTCCTCCTCGGGTGGAGGGGGAGAAGGTAGAAGATTTTGCAATGGCCTTACAAGCTTCTTCTTCCTCTTCCAAAAAAAGTGCGAAAATTTCGCAGAATGTCAGAGCTCTAGGATTGGTGAATTCGATGAGCTATAATGCCATGTTTGAGGCTGACGATAGGATTAGGAATCCAAAGGGGAAAGAGGTTGAGAGAGGCAGCTGTGAGAATGGGAACAATTATGACGATGAGCTACTAAGCAGCTGCAGCATTGATCATAGTAAAGAGTTGGATTTAAGTATTCCTATGGGGGGCGAGGATAATATGGCAGGTAAAGCACTATGGGGTAGAGATTGGTGGTGGAGACAGGATGGGAGTGGCGAATTGTGCAGCAAGGATTATGTGATGGAGTGGATTGGTAGCCAGATTTGCCCTTCAGCCAATTCTGCAGCTTGGGATAAAGTTAAGAGGAAGTGCATCAATGAGAAACCGCCAAGTCCAGAGAACTTGACGTGTTCTAGCAAGATTGATGAAGTGAAAGAGAGGAGTATGCCCGGGAGTTTTCAAAAGGAGTTCGAGATGGAAAGATCAAACAATCCAAGGAAGATGAAGGAGTGGTGGAAAGAGGAGCACCTTGAAGAACTATCCAAGAAGAAGAGTGGCAAGGCTAATAAAAGGCTTAATAAATTGAAGTGCATGAGCAACGTTGTCCCACATTTTGGTCCGGGAAAATGCTTTACATTCATAAGAAGAAGTAGAGGCAGACGTTTTGTGGCGCATAAAGAACATGCAGGCGGTGATCTGGAGGGAGAGTTCAGTTTCAGGAGAGGATGGAAGAACAAGACAAAGAATTCCCAATCTGTTGGTGGTGGGAGTGATTTGTGGAGTGGAGATCCTTTCAGCAGGGAACTACGCAGCAATACAAGCATGAGAGGGACATTGTGTTACGTTGCACCGGAATACGGTGGCTGTGGGGGTTACCTAATGGAGAAGGCTGACATATATAGTCTGGGAGTCCTCATTCTTGTGATTGTCTCGGGAAGGCGGCCTCTCCACGTTCTCAACTCGCCAATGGAGCTTGAGAAAGCTAACTTAATAAGCTGGTGCAGACACTTGGCTCATTCAGGGAACATATTACAACTTGTGGACGAAAGACTAGGAGATGAGGGGTATAATAAGGATGAGGCAAGCTTGTGTATCAATTTGGCCTTAGCCTGCTTGCAGAGAATGCCAGAAGTTCGACCTGATATTGGCGACATTGTTAAGATTCTAAGAGGGGAAATGAGCTTACAATCTCTCCCTTTCGAGTTTTCGCCATCTCCACCGTCTAAATTGCGCAGCAGATCAAGACGAAGACAGAAGATGAATTCTGAATTGGATTCCAAATAACATTAGTGTAATCTGGAAAATTCTCCTCCATGTCAGGCTTGTTTTTGGTTCCAAAAAAAAGGAATCTCTGTTAGAGTTTAGAGTGTTTTTTCTTTCTGTACATAACGCCATTTTTTAAATAAACGTGTTCTTGATAACTCGAGGAGTCATTGTTTTTACCAGCACTCTTGATCAAAGAGTTGAATTCCACATTTACCGTTCCAATTGATGTCGTTCCAACAGCTCCTAATCAATTGGTGAAAGAAGCTAAAGGCTCCAGTGTACAAAAGGCCAGGAAACCATCCCAGTTCCGAACCAAAACCGGACCGGGATTGGCTTTTAAACCGGGACAGGCAATTCTAAGAGCACTAGAAGTGCCGACAATATCCCATTCCAATTAAGATTCCTTTGATTTTGGGACCAGAACTAACCAATTAGGAGGTGGACCATATAGTACAGATAGCATCTATGAAGTAGGAAGTGACTATGAAAGCAGAGTATAAAACTTTTGTATTTATTGATTACTTGTATAATTTAGCTTAGACAGTAAAGCACATGCAAAAAGATGAGGATAAGATTGATGCTTTTCTGCATTTCAATCACTTTCTCAAAGTAATTAGGGTTTTAATACTGATGACAACATCATATCATGGTTATCAAAATATTAAGAGTAACTGTAGATAAATGAGCTTTCAGGTTTCAAGCACGCAAACACTCGAATGTGCCTTCATTTAAAAAACTCTTTAATAACAAAACTCTCCAAATTAATATTTACTTTGGGAGGACCAAAAATGACATCGAGGTTTTTATTGAATCTCGGATAAGACATTTAGGTTTTTTGTGGATCAAATAAACACAAAATCTAACTTTTACCCTAATTTTAAACCACCCACTAACTTTCTGTTCTAACACCCGTTTCCCGTCAAAAGCCCTTTCCTCTCCGATTAAACACCACCACCCCAATATACATCCAACAACCTTTTTTTTTCTTTCCGGCGAAAAAGGCTGTTCAAGGTCGATGTGCCCCTTTAGTTCATTCGTTGCCGGAGTGGTAACGATTAGAATTCGTGTTGGGCTGAGCGAGGAGAGGAGGAAGACGATTCTTTTGTTTGACTTCGCACCAGGGCTCTTCCGAATCCCAGACTTTCGAGTACGAGCTGCAACGTTGGGATATCTCTGCTCCGGTTGTGGTTGGCGGTGAGCAGGATGTGGTTGTACTTCTTGTATGGGATTGGTCAATTTCTAGTTGCCGAAATCCCTGAATTGATTTCTGGCTGTAGTGTGTTGTTGATTTCTTGGTTGAACATGGCTGAGTTCATACTTGAGGGGAGGTCTGGAAGCAAAATACCTGGGAATAGGAAATTGCCGACTGCTAAAGTCCCTAATTTGATATTTGGGTCTCAACCATCTGTGTTCAGTGTTGGACGGGACTCGTGTGAGCCCAGGGGTGTTGTCCTCGTACCAATAGGAACGAGGTTGTGAGTGGTAGTAATCTCCAAATTGGTTGGAATGGTGGTTCTCCCTTTCCCTATAATAGTACTGTTGTTTGTTGAATCTTTGCTCCTGGTGAGGATTCTGGCGATGTTGATGTTCAGTAAAGAATGGGCTACTGCTACTGCTATACTGGAATAAATCACTTGGTGGACTTGGGGGTTGTTTGGTTCATTTAGCTGGGTAACGGTAGTTTGAATGGAATGTTAGTGGATGGTTAAAAATGAAGGTAAAAGTTTAAAATTGGATTTATTTGGTCCATCAAAAACCTAAGTGTCATATCCGAGATTTATTAAAAACGTTAGTGTCCTTTTTGGCCCTTATCCCTATTTACTTTTCTTCTAAAAAAGTGTTATGTAGTAGGGAGTACTATTTTACGCTTCCTCGCGTTTCTGGTTGTTTTACGAAAATTTTAATAAAAAAATTGTGTGTAACTTTTTTTCCAAAAATAGTCTGTGTACCGGTCCAGTCCAACCCAATACCCGGACTCCACACCTTGGCGTAAGTCCTCCCATGGTGAGTGGATAGTAGCCTTAGTGAATAGTAGATCAATTTACTGGGTTCGTGCCTCAAAGTATATTTATGTTCTTCCAAACATTTTGTTAAAGGTTTTGTTGGATGCTAATTTATGAACACATGCATGCATGATCTTGAGTTGGTGGATTTCTTGTACTTTGAACTGTCCGGGCAGTAGGTAGGGCGTAGGGATGACAATTGTTATAGATATAAATTGAGAATTAATATTTCAAAAATGATCTTTGTACCCACCCTTATACCCACTTTTATACCCACCTATGTTTGTAAAGTGTTTTTTTCTATGAACTCCAATTCACAGACAATATTTTGCACAAACAAAAAATTGCCTGTGAACCACGTTCACAGACAAAAAAAAAACTTTTACAAACATAATGGGTATAAGGTGAGTATAAGAGTGTATACATTAAGCATTGTTGTTAATATTTACGTTACATCTTTACTGGATGTGGAATTGTGGATACAATAAATTTAGAGAGATTTTGTTTTGTTTTGTATACTTTCAATCATGTTTATTAGGTGATAGAAAAACTGGATAAGTGACCCGATAAATACATGCCAAAAAGTACAAGTACATAAAAATGTTTCCCAATATGCATCTACATAACGTCATAACCTTAGTCAATCACTCAAATTCTCATTCCCCAAGATAAGAACATACAATTCATTGTTAGTTCTACAATGTTAGAAACTGCAAAGTCTGTAATGCGCCCGATATATGGTAAATAGCTAAAAATTACGCTCCCTCCGTTACATATAAATTTGGAAAAATAGTGGAACGTCAAAAACTTTGAATCATTACATACTCAAACTAGGCTGGGCACCATGAAATACAGCCCAACCCAAAGCAGAACCACCGCCGAAACAGAATGGGCCAGTGGGGAGGCGGCGGAGTTGGTGCTGGAGTGGTTAGCAGGGACGGCGGATGTAGCAGGCGGAGGGGCAAGGGGATGGACAAGAACCGAAACTTTCATGCCATTAAAGCACTGACCAAGCCCACAAATGAAGTAATACCTCTTGGCCTTATCAAGTAGAATGAAGTCTTTTCCACTGCTCCAGTTCCCCACCGCGCCTTCGGTGGTGCAGTTGTCGTACCCACTCTGGTTCACTTCAAACACATTGTGCTGCATCTTCGTGTACCTGAAGGCTGCAAAAACCAATACAATTTGTTTAAGGACTGTTTGCAAAACGATACATGCTTGGGTAGAAAACAAGGAAGAAAATATGGGTCAAATTTGAGCAAAACAAAAAGTTGTTCAGCATCATTATATTGTTCTTTTATATTAGTTGGACTTCATTTATTTGTTTACATTTATCTTAGTTACCCACTGATGGTTCTCTTCTTCTATAAATGAAATCATTAGATTTCTATTTCCTTACCTTCTTTGATAAAAAACTAACTTAATGAATGTATTAAGTTTTGAAATATATAATTCTATGTCCTAATCAAGAACCTCTCATATTTTAAGAGGTTCACAATATATCTTGAAAATTTTAAATTATTTTGTTGACTATAATTTAAAATATTTCAATAATTCTCATTTTGTATGACATTTTTGAATTTATCAAATTTTGGTAAGATTATCATACTTTAGAGTCTTTTAATGAAATAATTACACATATATAACTAAAATAAATGTTAGTTTACAAAAATGTGACCTCTTAAATGTAGTGACTATATTAGTAACTTAATCATAGTAAGTAGTAACTTACAACAACATCCAAGCCTTAGTTCTAAAAGATTTTGGGTTCGGCTAACATGAATCGATACATGATATCGGAGCGAAAAGGGAAAAAAAGATAAAGTATGATAAAAAAAATACTCCTATTATATATAGATCATGCGAGAGTATTTGTTTTCCTTCGGGAATGACTCTTTCATTTTTATTTTTTACCCCTTCCAGTCTTTCACTAGAACTATCAGATGTCTAAATATAGCCTTAAAAGTTACAGGCAGAAATAATGGAAAAAATTCATATTTTTACAGCAATACTAGTAAAATAACTTGACACTACTTATGCATATGGTCAACGAAGAGCCCCTAAAAATCTCAGGGATATTAAAAAAATGGTCTAGAGGTGGTTAGTGGTGGTCTCTCTTCCAGCGGTGGGGCGTCAACATGATTGTGACCGAGTAGTGTGGTAAAAAAAGTTCAATTTTGTCATTTTTTTTTAACTGGATCAAACTCTTCCGGAAATAAGACTCATAAGTTAGAATACTAGAGAGATTTACCTAAATACCGGGCGTTTTCCCTCAACAGTAATTTCATTTTTTACAGGAGTACAATTTGAAAACATACCCCTATTTAAATCGGGGAAGGAGAGGGGTAAACGAAGAATAGAAATTCCTGGTTAGTTTATTTAAATAACACTTCGCTAACCCCAATTGATTTCCTGTTGGACTAAAAAACAAATTACAGGAGGATCGACTAAGCTCTTATACAATATTAGATGGAATTAAACTCGACTGAAAGGATATTAGAATATTTCAGAAAGATTGATCTATCTCATCGGCATATACATTTGATTCAAATATAACAAATATGTGATGTGGATAGCTAACAGAATCATCCTTTTTTCTGCTTTCGAGTAACTTGGCGTTTTGAGGGAGCTTACAGATAAAGTCATTGACGTAGAAGGTTTGGTTGTTGGCCCAGAGAGTGTAGTTGATGCCGGGGTTCCATCCCTTGTTGACGCCGACGATGTGATCTGTGGCGGAGACGGCGGCGATTAGGATGAGGAGGAAGAGAAGCACAGTGAAGGAGGTGGACATGATTGAGAGAGGTGCGGACAATTGGGACGCAACCTGTCAGTTGCTTTGTTGTCCAAACAGGGAGTATGGAGGATAACTTTTTTTTATTGCTTCTCTATCCAATGATTTTTCTGAAGTCATACCTATTTTTCAAGGGATATACCCATTTGTCTATGAAAATTATTACTCCGTATTATGTGTATCAATACTTTGACTTTTGTACAATGCACGCACCCACTTTTAATTTATAAATTTCTTAGAAGAATAAAATTCTGAAAAATATTTACAAATCTATGCATTGAGAAACAAGAAGTTCAAACTATTTATAAATTATTTTTTTACATTTATGATTGTTATGAGTTTTAGAGCCCGTTTGGTGACTCTGTTTTTTGACTTATCACGCTTATTAGTCAACATTTTAATCAAAGCGTAATTTTTTATTTCGTGTGCTGAATTGTGTAATAATAAGAAAATGTAAGGTTGAAGTTATTTCTGTGGCTGTATTGGCCGAAGTTACTCTAGATGACCATTTTAGCTATTTTTCATATAATTTTTTCTTTATTTCATTAATAAAGTATACTCCGTATTTTTAATATACCTTATACATCAATCAGCAGAATCAGCCAATACAGTCACTTCATCCAGAACATCATAAATTTCAGCAGAATCAATCGATTAAGTCAATTTCGGAGTTATCAAACGGGTCTTAAAGTTTCTATTTAGATTTTTTAAATAAACTTATTTAAAAAAATATGAATAAAAATTGCGGGGTAATTCATATGGAGTATTATAGTATAGTGTTGCAATCACTTAAATGAAAAAATTGAACATAAATTACTATAGTTACTACTATAACCAACTAGTCACTGCATGTTAGAAATCATTTTTATAAAAAAAATATTTTAGTCAAACATATGTAATTACTTCTAGAGATTTTTTACAAAAAATATTACTGAAATGAAACTCATTTATAAAAATATGATTCATAATTGCAATACTCCGAATGAACGTATTCACACTCTACTTTGACCATGATTTTTTACTAACATATATAATCAAACTATTATGTACTCTCTTTGTCCCCTTTTAAATGTCCCGTTTTACCATATTGGGATGTCCCTATTTAATTGTCTCATACCTTATTTGGTAAAGTTTGTGTGGCTCAAAATCATTCTTACTTTATTCTTACTTTATCAATTATTATCAACCACACAAACCCACTTTTCTTAAAACTCGTGGCACCCTCTTCCGGGACATTTAAAAGGGGACGGAGGGAGTATAAAATATCATTAAAATTGTCTTAATTTGAAGTTTCAATTTTTTATTGTTTATTACTGTGTAATTAAACATAATTACCGTCCAAATTGTGGGTTGGTAAACGTGAAAGCCTAATTGTTGCAATTAGAAAAGAACGGACGTATTAAAAGAATGGAGGTAGTATCACTCAATGGTGTGCACAAGATGAGTGAGACATGTCAATTTGTGCATAGACTCTAATAGTGTTAACGTAGTTTTTACTTCTCCTTGCTAAGGAGAATAAAAGCATTCATCGGCTTGATCAGTCATTGGGGATGAGCCACAAGATCCCTCTGTTTGACTATCCACAAGAAAGGAAGCTCTTAACACTAGAAACCACCCTATCATCGGCCCTCCAGCACGCCCCCCCCCAAAAAAAAAAACTAATCTATGTTTTATAGGTATGCAACTTAGTACACACTCACTTCTCAATAATATGTTTGACTGCTTTAGTAAGCCATTTTCCAATGTGTTTGTACTTTGTAGTTTATATCAATCCCTTTGAAGAAAGTAAAGAGGTCTGGAATGAAATTATAAAGGAAAACTTAGGGATCTTATTACAAAAGCTAATACCAAAACTTTCAAGATAAGTTTGAGTTTTTGAAATAAGCTGCTCCCAATTGGCAGGAGCAATTGGAGGAACCGGTTTTTAGGAGGAAAGGATATGTAGCCCTGCTCAGAACCCCAAGTGTAAAAGTTGATTGGAAGGAAATGGTAATGAAGAATAAGGCTTCGCCTCGTGCTAGGTTTATATTGTGGCTAATCTTATGGGGTAGAATTGCTACTAAAGAAAGGCTTTTGCATTTTCATATTTTAGTTCCTGATACTTCTTGTATCTTTTGTGGAGTTCTATTAGAGACAGTGGACCATGTGGTGTTTGAATGTCCAGAAATTCAGAAGCTGTGGGCAGGTTTGTATAGATGGTTGGGTAGAAGATTTAATATTAGTAGTTGGGCTCAATTTCTCCCTATATTAGTTTTACTCTATTCTATATGGCAAGAACGGAATCGGAGAGTTTTTACTGGTACACATTTGGAGTTACATGTTATCCTTCATCGGGTAGTACAAAAGGTTATTGGTAGATGTGCGAAGGATGTGGAGATTGCTAGTTTCTTTAATGGCTTTTCTCATTATCCTATTATTTAGTCTAGTAATAGCTTTTGGTGTTTTGGATTGTTTCCCCGGATGTTTAGGGGTTACTGGGCTTGCCCTTTTGCTTTTGTTAAGTGAGTTGATTGTACTGATTGATAATTGGAAGGAATAAAATAAGCTTATTTCGTCCAAAAAAAAAAAAAATAAGCTGCTCCAACCAAACAGTGCTTAAATGAGAAGTTCTTCTAAAGCTAGTTACAAACCATTTCTGTTGTGCCAAACATAGCGGTGCATTCTTTAACAATTCAGAATTAGTTTTTAAACTGATAGCACAATTCCTAATACAATTGTATCTAGAATGCTCAAATTGATTGGACAACATCCCACAGTTGTTTTTTAGCAATTAAAGTTGAATACTGTGCAAAATAATGTAGACAGTTTAACAAATAACTGCTTGATTATATATATTGAGAAAGATGCATTTGGACTCGTTAATAAACAAATCCCTATATAAAAATTTCCATGGATATATCTAGGCGATTAAAATAAATATGGCTAAAGAAAAAGCTAGAGTACTTTTTAAAAACTTCAAAAAAGTAAATATATATGTCACTTCATTATGTCAGTTGCACCCCAAGGACACCACCAGTGACAATGGCCACTTCACCGCCACAGATGCCTCTGTGATTGGTTATGGCCGTTTCCGGTGACATTTTCAGCAAATTCTTTCAAAAAATCAGCAAATTTTAAATTTCTATTTTTTATTTATTTTAAGCAGCCCGGTGCTCAAAGGCATCCTCCCCGCAAGGTGAGAGTCCGGGGAAGGGTCCCGCCACAACGGTCTATAACGGGCAAGCCTTCCCCTATCACCTTTTTTTTTATAAAAGGCCGCTCCCAAGACTTGAACATGTGACTTTGCCAAGGCTTCCATTCAAATTTTAAATTTCTATCAACAAACAAGAAGATGACCATTGACAAACTCTTGAATTACATATATCAGCTGCAAATAATATTTGGAGTGTGATAGCATACATGTTTTTTTTGCACAACTCCATAGTTCCTATAAGAATGCTAAGTGTTGGTTCACAGAAGAATGGCCTTAGTATTTCTCTGAATATAAAACCCCGTGGCTTCAGGATATTGAAGAAGCCGTCAAACTCTGGTTTGTCTGTTTTCTCTTACTATGTCCCTTCATCTTTATAAGCTTCTGAAGCTTCAGGTTTTCATCTTCAGGGTTCATTTCGGAGTATAACTCTTTAGCCCTATATGACATTCCACACTCCAGGAGCCTTTCAACCATTAAAGTGTAATGAGCAGAATCAGGAATTACCTTATACGATTTAATTACCTTATACGATTTCATCTCAGCCCATATCTTCAATGCATTTTCAGGCTCCTTCAGCTTGAAAAACCTATCAAGTACTAACAGAAATGTATCCTTGTTTGGACCAAGCCCATATTTTCTCATATCATTTAGAAGCTCAAAAGTTTGTTCGATGCTCGAAGCTCCAAGAAATGCATGATAAGTGACAAATGTTGGACTTATAGAATCCTCTATCATCATAGCCAATACCTTTCTTGCTTCTTCCAACTTGGGCGCTTCACATAGAGGAGATATGATTGAGTTGTACGTGACAGAATCAGGAAGCAAACCCATGTTTTTCATCTTGTCTACAATTTTCAAAGCTTCTTTTAGGCAATTCTCACGGGTTAGTATATATACCAAAGAATTGTAGACTGAATTCCCAGGAACCCAGCCTCGTTTTTTCATTTCATCGTAAAATCTCAGAGAATCAAATAGATTTCCTACTTTAGAGAAACAGGAAATCATGTATGTGTAAGAAGCTTCATTAGGCACGATACATTGTTTAGACAGTTCTCGCCATACCCTCTTCGCTTCAAATATGTCAACCACAAGGTTACACCATCCATTCAGAATGATGTTGAAGCCTTCGATTCCTAATGGGAACAGCTTCTTATTGACAAGCATAAATTCTTCAGCCTCTTCAATAAATCCATGTTTACAAAGAATATTCAAGAATGAAAAGAACACTCTCTGATGAGAGGACAAACAAAAAATTTCCATTATCTGAAATGCCCGTATAGCCTTGTCTGGAAAATTTGCTGCAGCATACCTTTGATATTGTAAATGTAAGAAACTATATGAACTGTTTAAGCTTTATCATTGTTTCCAGCAACAAATGAATTGATTATTTCTATCTAAGATACAGTTTGGCATATTGTGAAGTCTGTATACAGAACAGAACTAAAATATATTACAAGTTCCCTTGATTAACTGATTAGTCATTTTGAAATGCAAGAGCTTCAGAACCAGTGATGTTTTCCTTTACTATGTCAGTATGTCACTGAAGAAAGTGCTTGTTGGTCCATTCAAAGTCCAGATGTTATATTGCACTCATATGGTAACTTGTATGCAATTTATTTACACTCACAACCCATGTATAAATTAACCAGACACTGTGTATATAATGAAGGTTTCAATGTATGAGAATGATCAAGATTAAATTAGGTGCTATAAATTCATGAAGGGCAGAAATTACCTATCGATCATAATGAGGACGGCCTCTTGGACGTCAATAGACTTGCGTGCAAGGTCAGTGATCAAAGTCCATGCGGTACTGAACTTTTTATGGTTGCCCAGAACCCATATCACCAAGCACCGCGTTTTTTCAGGAACGCAGTCCCATTTCTCACCCCACTTGAATAATAAATAAGCCAACTGCCACCGGTCTCTCATATCCCAAATCGCCAAAAAGATCAAATCTTGGCTTGGTTTTACAGCACACTGGTCAAGTAATGCAATGGCTTCATCTCCGGAAGCACAACCCTTGGCCTGTTCGAGTACCCCAGTGACTCCACTAACATCAACTTGGAAATTTTCGGTTAATCTCTTTACGTAATCTTCAAAGTTGATGATTTCGTAATCCTGTAAATTTTGTTGGGTACAAAAGTTGCCATTTTGAGGAACACGAGAACGTTGGTTGCAAGGCGTTCGACGAAATGCTCCAAAGATATGCCGCTGCTGATGGCCCTGAACGAGAGTACTTGTGGTAGGCTGAAGAGATACCGAAGTCAAGATACGAGGCACAAAATGTAAGGAGAGCGTTTTATGCAACATTCGAGCACGATGAAGCAGCCGTACCATTTCACTTACGAGACTGAAGATCACACAAGAGTAATCAACATTTATGTCGGTTTTCCCTGAGTATGTACTGACTTTCCCTCAGATTGAGCCGTACTTCGGATAAAGAAAGACTAGTTCGAGCTTTGTGCAAAAAGTACTCCGTTCTTAAATAAATGCAACGATCTAACATTTCACACTTGTCGAGACACAATTTTGACCATTAATATAAATGATTTTGTATTAATAAAAAAATTAAAAAAATTAGATTATGAAAATTTACAATGAGATAAGTTTAACAATATTTTTTTCATAAAATAATATTATTACATTAATAAATAAAACGTAGTCAAAGTAGAACGTGTGAATAGTGTAAAAGTCAAAGTGTTGCATTTATTTAAGAACGGAGGTAGTACAAACCTTGGTTCACAGCACATATCGAGTTCGAATTTTATTCCAGATTTCTCTATTTTAAAAATTAAGAGTGTTGGTTGAATTCGTTTTATTTGGTGGAGTTTTATTGGTCTGGTTTTAGATGATTCAGTTTTAAAAAAGATGAAACCAAGAATTCTACCACACAACTTGGGTCGGTTTTGGTCAATTTTTATGGGTCAGGGTTTTATCAGCCAATTGGTTGGTTAATGAGTTTTAGTTGTATTGTTGTAATAATAATGATATTTACAACTATAATTTAAATTATAGTTGTAATTATCATTATAATTGTAGTCGTAATTACAATTAGAATAATAATAATAATAATAATGATAATGATGATGATGATGATGATGATGATGATGATGATGATGATGATGATGATGATGATGATGATGATGATGATGATGATGATGATGATGATGATGATGATGATGATGATGATGATTATAATAATAATAATAATAATAATAATAATAATAAGAGGCGGAACCAGAACAAAATTTGAGCCGGGGCTGAAAAGAATGTTAAAACTCACAACACTGAAATTACAATAGAAGTATGAAAATACAAATTAGGTCAAAATGTGTACATACATTGGGCATCTATTCATTGCTAGAACAAGAAACAAATTGACACAATTGCATCGTGCGTGTCTGCGTGATAATAATAATAATAATAATAATAATAATAATAATAATAATAATAATAATAATAATAATAATAATAATAATAATAATAATAATAATAATAATAATAATAATAATAATAATAATAATAATAATAATAATAATAATAATAATAATAATAATAATAATAATAATAATAATAATAATAATAATAATAATAATAATAATAATAATAATAATAATAATAATAATAATAATAATAATAATAATAATAATAATAATAATAATAATAATAATAATAATAATAATAATAATAATAATAATAATAATAATAATAATAATAATAATAATAATAATAATAATAATAATAATAATAATAATAATAATAATAATAATAATAATAATAATAATAATAATAATAATAATAATAATAAGAGGCGGAACCAGAACAAAATTTGAGCCGGGGCTGAAAAGAATGTTAAAACTCACAACACTGAAATTACAATAGAAGTATGAAAATACAAATTAGGTCAAAATGTGTACATACATTAGGCATCTATTCATTGCTAGAACAAGAAACAAATTGACACAATTGCATCGTGCGTGTCTGCGTGATGAAAACACTGCATAATTAATTAATGGGAAAGATTCTGAAATAAGACTAAAACAGTTTGAAAACTCTAAAATATGACTGCCATTTTTTTATTCCCAAAAAAGGAGTAATTACTACCAAGTTTGGAAAATACTGCCATGTTTGATGTCTGGTACTGCCAAAACATGATAGTAATTAGTCCTGTTTTGGGAATAAAAATGTGACAATCCTATTTTGGAATTTTCAAACCTTTTTAGTCATATTTTGGGTAATATTCTCTTAATTCATTCTTTGTTTTTACAAATATTTCCTTCTCCGTGTATATTACTAAGCAAATATGGATAACCTAAAAATTATTATATCATACTCCCTCCGTTTCGTTTTCTTTGACAAAGTTTGACATGTCAACATTTAAGGATTTTTTTTACTTATGAGTAAATTTTACTGTTTGAACACTGTTTGGCAAAGTCCAATGGAACGGAGAGAGTATTAAAAAGTTAAGTTTATCTATATCAAATAAATTTGTACGAAGCAATAAAGTACCTTAAAAGTTAAAACTAAGTACATAATTTAACTTACTTTAATTTACTGTATTCAATTATTCCATTAATTATAGGCCGTTAGGACTTGGGGTGATTTACCCAAGTAAATAATTAATTGACTAAACCTTAAACCATAAAAGGAGGCCTAAAATCTAATTCGGAGTAATAAAATACGACTATACGAGCCAGGAGGCGGGTGAGCAGGCCAGCAGCTATTTGCAACCGCAAGAGTCGAGACACGTGGGAAAATTAGCATGAAGTATATTATACTACGTATTATTAATATATATTATAACTTTTTTTCATTTAACCAAACGACATCGTTTGGAATAGGTAGGAACAATAGATTTTATCGGCAAGGACCACCTCCCACATTTCATCGTTCTCAGCCCACATCTGCGAAATTTCAGCTTGAACAGAGCAAAATCAAACGGATCTGTGGGGCGCTAATGGACATACTGTCTATATATACTTTACCAGCTCCGGCGAAGGGGTGGCGCCAGCACCGGCTCGCTCCCCCTGGTTCCGCCCCTGATAATAATAATAATAATAATTTTAATAATAATAATAATAATAATAATAATAATAATAATAATAATAATAATAATAATAATAATAATAATAATAATAATAATAACAGGGGGATTTGACTTTGCACCCCATATTTAGGATGATATTGGACTTTGCACCTCATTTTAAAAAAACTTTGATTTTGTATATCATTTCACTTCAAAATCTTTTGACTTTGCATTCCATTATGAAATTTTTCTTCACAAATGTTATATGATAGGGTGCAAAGTCAAAGGTTTTTTAAAATGGGGTGCAAAGTTCAATATCATTCAAAAAGTGATGTGCAGAGTCAAATTTTCTCTAATAATAATAGTAACAATAATAATATCAATAATAGTAGTAGTAATAGTAATACTTTCAAAAATTAGTAATAGTAATCATAGTAGTAGTAGTATTAGTAATAATAATAATAATAATAATAATAACAACAACAACAATAACAACAACAACAAAAATAACAAAAATGAGAATGATAACGACAACGACGATATCGATAATAATAATAATAATAATAATAATAATAATAATAATAATAATAATAATAATAATAATAATAATAATAATAATAATAATAATAATAATAATAATAATAATAATAATAATAATAATAATAATAATAATAATAATAGTAATAATAATAATAATAATAATAATAATAATAATAATAATAATAATGCTAATAATAATAATAATACCTAATATGATATTCATTTGTCATTCAAGCAATACTGTGATATTTTCTACTGTATGAACAATATTTTTAAAAGATGATATCACTCACGTCAGAAAATACTATTTCAAAGAAGACAATAATGTGTATAATAATGTATATATGTGATTTTTCCAGCATTGACATTATTATTTCAACATTGGCATTATTTTAACGTGATGAAAAATCAGACCAGAAAATAATAATAATTGAATTGACATATTTATCCAGTTACCAAAACACTTAAAGTATTTTTCTAATTATATTTACCACATTTGCATATGTAGGAATTAATCCGCGTTCTAACGTTTCTAGTGCACATAGGTACTAAACAATAAAAGAGTATCATCAATGATAAAAAGTAAGTTTGAATTGATATCATTAGGACATTATTATAAAAATATTTAAAGCAGAAACATGGATGTTTCAAATAAACATACCATTTCCGTCCCATGAGCTGACAAATGAGTTAAAGCAAAAATATAAATTTTAAATAAACATATTATTTTTATCCACTATTCTCAGTGGCTATATATTATGATTCTTTATTTAATATTGAATAATCTGTATGGAGTTTGGAAAGTAGAAACGTCACTTAATAATTAATAATCTTCATATTTTTTTAAATTTTATATATGCAATATTGTTGTCATATGAAATATCATAAAAAAAATATGAATTTTGATATTTATTTTTGTAAAAATCGAAACAAAATTTTTATAACTCTTTAAAAGAAAAATGTTGTTTTGGTATAGGCTGTTCTTGTTCGCATATCTGGTCGCGGAGCAGTGGTCTGCTTTTGGCTAAGGTAGAGCGATCACGAGTTTTTCTCTCTAGGGCTTTGACTATGTCGGCCGCTGGAGCCTTTTTCCGATTTCGACTTTGTCGAAGATCGGCTTTGTTATCCCTTGGTTGCTAGTGCTCGACTAGAATCCAGGTCAGATGCGGAGGGCGGAGATCGGTGGAGGGGGGCAGATTTGCTGTCATGGCTCGAGGAGATCGGCGTTGTGGTCAAGGTTCGAAGATGCGGTGTTGTCGTCGTCGTTGGAGAAGATCGGCGCCGCCTATCCGCTTACTCTGGGCGCACGGAGCAGAGATGAGTTTGGTTATGCAGGGACAGAGGATTGATGCATGGTCTTTGGAAGCCAAAGGTCATGGAGGATCAATTAGCATGGTACCAGTGGTACGACCTCCTCCTGAACCACTACCATGGGATGCACGAGGTGCTAGAGTTCGTGAACGTTTTTCTTGTAGTTTTTATCTGTTTGTTATTTGTTTTCTTGCGTCCATTTTTGTTGTTGGGTTTGACAGTTTGTTTGAGTTTTTTGTCTCTCTTTATGTCATTGGGTATGGTTGGATCTATGGAAATAGGTTTGGCTGTGTCAAGCCCATTGCATGGTTAGCGATTCGTGTTGCTCTCTCAGGAGTGACTGTCTCAAAGTCTCACCATAGGGTTACAGTTGTAGTCAGTGGCGGACCCACTAAGGGTCCCACGGGGTCCCGAGACCCCGTGCACTTCCAAAAATACCTATATATATTATATATATTTCATATAAAAAATAATTTATAAATGTATATATACATTAAAAAGCAACAAAATAACCAAATTACGAAATCAGTGCAGTGGTAGCGCGCGCGGGCGATACTCACTCCTCATGT